TATAAAATTTTTAATCTTTTTAATATTTTATATATATATATATATATATATATATATATAGTTAGATGTATTGATGTGAGTTTGTGAACATGAGTTACACACCCTTGCAATCGTCAGACAAGCGATCGCAAATTTCTCTTTTTGACCATCTCAAGGCCGTGTAACTCATGATTACAAACTCACATCAATACATCTATGTTAGCTCTATCACTGATATTGAATGCTTTCTAATAAGTACAGCGCATATATAATATATATAGAAATTACACACACACGCATACACATCTATAAATATATATTATACACATATATATATATGTATAAATTTTATATATATTTATATAAATCTATGTTTCATTAAATAATATAGACAAGTTTTGTCTATTTATTTTAAGCAAATTCCATTCATATCAGCTGATAAGCTTAATAACATTATCATTGAATGACGAAAGAAAATTACCATATTGATACATGTTTTTTAATCCTATCTAAGCTTTCGGCTTACATAAGCCATCATCAAAGATGTCAATTACAATAAATTAAACAATACGCGGACATAGCATCAATGATAGTCTGTTTATGTTGACATTGAAGATTTCCAAGCAGCGAAAAACTCGAGCATACGAGATGTTGGAAGCGAAAATCGCACCGCAGCCCATGACATCACACATGATCACGCGAGAGTGAAAAGGAGAAATGTATGGGAAGCCGTTAGTATAAACCAATGGCTTCTGTTATCAATTATAGGCATTTAAGTATATTTGTGGAGTTTTCATAGTTTATTTAATGAAACATGCATTAATCAATAAATACTGCCTAAATACACACTATATATATATATATATATATATATATATATATATATATATATATAAAAGGCAACATGTTTGAAAACGCTTAAATGGATAATAGAAAATAACTTTTATGCAAGGTGTGCATTGTATTAAGAAGAAATATATTTTATAAATCAATCATTAGATTTTACAAACCAGTGATAATTCCTTCTTTTTTTTTTTTTTTTTTGTTTACTTAGGAAATTAATGTGCGGGTAGTGCAACGGTTATCAACTCAGAAAGTGAAATTTGCGACACGAGTTCGAATCCAGGCTGATTTCTTTATGTTTTATGTTTTCGCACAAATACCCTTGAGAAAGGAATGAATCCATTTTTCTCCCCTCGCTATAGATTAAATAGTATGACAGACTGGGCACTCTTGTCTTGAAGTTCAAGACCAGCTTGAAGAGATGCGTTTCGTTAGGCTGTCTTGCCCAATGTTCTCTACTGCTGCTATAGCTGTAGTACGCGTAAAACCCCTACGACACTAATGGTTTAAGGAACACACACACACACACACACACACAGTCCAATTTAACGTACATGAAACTGAGTAACATATTCAGAAAATTGTTTGAGCAAAAACATATAATTTTTTATAAATTCATCACGAAATGCCAAAAAGGTGGGGATAACAGCAGAAACAATTAAAATAGAGATAATATGGAACTTGAAGGGAAAATAATGACATAATCAAGATGTTGGCGTTATACGCGACTTCGAACAAAAGGTTAGAAAGGAAACTCCCATCAAAAATTATTAATTAAAAAATACGCTCTTAAGTAGGCGCCCAAGAGGGTCGTCAGTGATGTTATTTGACTTGGTTCATCAGGGAGTTTCGGGTCTTTCAACATCATACTCCCCATCACCAAATCAGGGGAGATCAATCCCTGATCCCCCGTCTCAATCAAACGTTAACAGCTACTCTGGCCTTTTAATGAATTAGACGAAGAAGACCACGTTTTCTGCACACCCGATTGGATGTTTATAACAACCAATCCGCTGAGCGGACTATCTTTTAAATGGTCAACGGTGGGGACTAGCTTCTTTTCTTTTTTCGGCGGGTAGCAGTTTCAATAGATAACTGAAGAGGTAATCTTAATGTTCCTAAATTTCCTAAAATAGCTATAACAGTTAGTGGGCTTGACAAACAAATTTCACAGAATAATTGCTTTAAGAGATTTTTTTTTTTATATAATTTTAATCTGCTCAGTCAAAGAATGTTGAATGTTTTCACATAAGGAAACGGATAATATTACCGTTATCATTAGAGATTAGGAGAACAGATACAACACTTGGCATTTACTTGTCTCCCACGATGACGGGATATATTCCACAGACTCTCCCTCTTTGGTATAATGAGGGAGGTGCTGCCGTAAGGTTGGAAACCCCGGTACCAGACATCCTTCATTTATTTGTTGTTTTCTGTCCGAAGACAGAAACACAATTGAAAGATAAAATGTACTCCGACCGCAGACAGATACTACACTTTAATCACAGACCCATAGCCAGATTGGCTGCTAGGTCAATGAATTCTGAATGTTATCACATAAGGAAACAGTTAATATCGCTATCACCATTAAAAATTAGGAGAACAGATAATACACTTTGATCCCAGCCTAATGGCCAGGGAGTAAAGAATATCATTACTCAAGTAGCATTGGTTGCAGCTGCTCGGTCAATGAATGCCGAATGTTTCCTTGCAAAGAAATTACTAATATTATCATTAGAGATGAGGTGTAATTTTGATCCCAATCCGATAACCAGGGGGTAAAGAAAAGCTTAACTTCAGTAGCACCGGCTGCTCGGTCAGTGAATGAAGCGGCTGATATTAACATTATCATTAGTTTGGGTCCCAGTTGGCACACCCTTGCAATCGTCAGACAAGCGATCGCAAATTTCTCTTTTTGACCATCTCAAGGCCGTGTAACTCATGATTACAAACTCACATCAATACATCTATGTTAGCTCTATCACTGATATTGAATGCTTTCTAATAAGTACCGTGCATATATAATATATATAGAAATTACACACACACGCATACACATCTATAAATATATATTATACACACATATATATATATATATGTATAAATTTTATATATATTTATATAAATCTATGTTTCATTAAATAATATAGACAAGTTTTGTCTATTTATTTTAAGCAAATTCCATTCATATCAGCTGATAAGCTTAATAACATTATTATTGAATGACGAAAGAAAATCACCATATTGATACATGTTTTTTAATCCTATCTAAGCTTTCGGCTTACATAAGCCATCATCAAAGATGTCAATTACAATAAATTAAACAATACGCGGACATAGCATCAATGATGCTATGTTGGCACACCCTTGGCACACACAAACACTATCCACAAGTATATTATTATTATTATTGCTATTAATAAAGGATATACAAGCCAGACGTGAGATTGATTGATTTGTCTGTTTAACGGCATATCAACTCCTTATGGATCATTTAATGCCGAAAATTAATTAATGTGGTTTTATGTTTTATTTTTAAGTTATATTTTGGAATACAGTTTGATTTCTTTGAGAAATTATAGGATATTATATGGATTAATGTCATGAAAGAGTTCTTTCATGTTGATTGGTTGATTTTGTTTAGTGACATATCAACACCTTTATGGGTTATTTAATGACGAAATTTAAATATTTTGAGCATAGTTTTATGGCTCCAACTACAATTTAAAATGTATTTTGCCATAAAATGTATTGTTGATAATTACGGAGGACTAATGTGGCAGATATAATTCTACTAATGAATGTTGCCAATACCATTCACAGTTCGTATAATAGGCGAAGAAGATTTGATTTGGTTTGATTTGTTTGTTTAAAGGCATATCAACACCACATGGGTCATTTAAAAATTTAATTTTCTTGGGAGTTTTTATTTGATTTCTTTGGTTAACGGTATATCAACACTTCATGGGTCATTTAATGCCGAAATTTGATTTTCTTGGGATCTTTTATTTCATATCTTTGTTAAACCGCATATCAACACTTCATGGGTCATTTAATGCAGAAATTTAATTTTCTTAGGAGCTTTTATTTCATTTCTTTGTTCAATGGCATATCAACACCTCATGGATCATTTAATGCCGAAATTTAATTTTCTTGCGAGCTTTGAAGTAATTAAAGTATGATATATGTTATTCTACTTTCACAATTGAATACATGGTAGATGATACTCAGCTTTTGTGCATATACATGTTTGTGTGGACATGATAACTAGAGGTAGTGATATGTGTGTTTTACACTGTAGCTTTGTTGAATACAGCTTGATTTCTTCAAGAAATTATATGTTTGTGTGGACATAATTACTAGAGGCTGTGATATGTGTGTTTGATATTGTAGTTTTGTTGAAGCCAAATGTGAGAAAAAGCAGACGAAAAAATAAAAATAAAATTCTCCAGTCTGATATTCTAAAACAATTCTCCCAAAATTAGATCTTTAGGCAAAATAGAATTGCTTGATCAAGATTAAGATACACTATTTACATTATTCTATACAATAGTCCGAATAATGTAAATAGTGTACATAATACATCATCTCAGAAATATAGACAGATACTGATGAAGGCTGGAGCGTACAACGACCGAAACGTTGTAATAAATATGGCAACAAAGATGAGGACAATAGTCCGATTAATGTAAATAGTGTACATAATACCTCATCTCAGAAATATAGACAGATACTGAAGGGCCGAAACTTTGTAATAAATATGGCGACAAAGATGAGGACAATAGTCCGAATAATGTAAATAGTGTACATAATACCTCATCTCAGAACTTTCGACAGATACTGATGAAGGCCGGAACGTACAACGACCGAAACGTTGAAATAAATATGGCAACAAAGATGAGGACAATAGTCCGAATAATGTAAATAGTATACATAATACCTCATCTCAGAAATATAGACAGATACTCAAGATTAAGATGAAAAATAAAATCTGACTGATATTGAGAATTAGCTTTGATGACATTAGTTTTCTGTGATACATGTGTCTCTTCATGGTTCTCCACAAGTTCCTTATAACCTTTGAAGCTTAATAATGCTTCTTTGTCGTTCTTCTGCCGTCTATTCACACAAATTCGTTAAAACCAGTTCCTTGCTGTTTCGTCCTGATTATCTTGTTATCCATATGTCCTGTGAGTGTTAGAAGAAAGAAAAGAAAAGAAACGAGGAGGAAAAGAGTGGAAACGAAAAGAGAAAGAGAGGAAAAGAAAAGAAACGAAGAGGGAAAAGAGGAAAAAAGAGGAAAGAGAAGAATCGAAAAAAGAAAGAGAAGAAACGAAGAAAAAAAAAAGAAGAAACGAAGAAGAAAAGAGAGGAAACGAAAAGTGAAAGAGAAAAAACGAAGAAGGAAAAGAAAAGAAATAAAGAGACAAAGAGAAAAATAAACAAAGAGGAAAAGAGAAAAAACGAAGAAGGAAAAGAAAAGAAATAAAGAGACAAAGAGAAAAATAAACAAAGAGGAAAAGAGAAGAAACGAAGAAGGAAAAGAAAAGAAACAAAGAGTCAAAGAGAAAAAGCAAAGAGGAAAAGAGAAAAAACAAATATGAAAAGAAAAGAAATGAAGAAGGAAAAGAAAGAACGAAGAGGAAAAGAGAGAAAAGGAAAAGAGAAAGAGTGGAAACGAAGAAGGAAAAGAAAAGAAACGAAAAGGGGAAAGAGAAGAAACGAAAAGAGAAAAAGAAGAAACGAAGAAGGAAAAGAAAAGAAACAAAGAAGGAAAAGAAAAGAAACAAAGAGAGAAAGAGGAGTAAAAAAAAAAAGAAACAAAAAATGAAAGAGAAGAAAAGAAAAGAGAAAGAGAATAAATGAAGAAGGAAAAGAAAAGAAACGAAGAGGAAAAGAGAGGAAACGGAGAGGGAAAGAGAAGAAACGAAAAGAGAAAGAGAAGAAGCACAAAGAGAAAGAGAAGAAATTAAATTGGAAAGAATAGAGGGTTTTTTCAAAAACTGAAAGTAAAGGAAAGAAAATGGAATTTGTGTTTGTTCGGCTTCGTAAACAGGAGTAAATTTTTTTTTAAAAAGCAGATGAATACAGAAGAAAAAGTTAAGAAAAGCTGAGAAAATAAAAGTCAAGATAACAAATTTGGTTCCCTTGACTTACTGTGAACCAAGAATGATAAGATTCAAAACACAGCCAAGTACCAAACACAACCTAAGTATCATGTCTTCAGAATCAGACATGAAATTCCGTAGCAGTAAAAAACATGAAATATATTGAAATTCTTTTAACTTTTGAATCATAAACAAATGTTTTCGAGTCATTAAAACTAGAAAGTTTTTTTTTTTAATTTAAAAATTGGCAATGTGGTTGTTTCGTCTGTACAATATGATTTTTCCACTTAAGATTTTTAATTTGTGTCTCCAACCACAGGAAAATAACGTTTGGATTTCCTTCAACAATCACTACCGCCATGGTCGATAATACGGCTGGTAGAGAGGTTGTCGCCTTCCATGTTTTCGAGAAAAAAATGAATGATAATGACCTATCCTAAACATAGAAAATAATCTATCCTAAAAAAATGATAATTGCGTATCCTAAACAAAAAGGCCTATAATGATATATCCTAAAAAATAGCCTATCATTAAAAAATTATAATAGTCATAATTATAGCTATCTTTAAAATGGTAATCACCTAAACAAACAAAAAAATCATAATGATCTTGTGCGGATCTTTTACGCACGAACATACATACATATATACAAAAATACAAATCACATATAACGCAAAGCATTCATTGGTTAATTAATCACTACTACGTTATTATAGGCAATTTACAAATCGCAGCAATGCGACAATTTTGCAATCGCTCTATTTTTAAGTAGTCAATTTTGTGCACTTTTGGGAGAAACGGATCACAGAAGCTTTCTTAATTTCCCCCAAAGCTCGCTCGCTGATTGGTCGATGCCAACCAATCAGATCATCTGCAGGTGAAGAATAATTCTTCCCGCGCAGCGATTTGAAGCCTACAGTCGCTTATAAAAGCTAACGTCTTTTTCATCTCATCAGTGAGAATTCCAACTGCCAAACGAATCCACGACAGTTGAAACCATGCGCCAACTTTCTCATTCACACACACCACTCACATGCTGAACATAACCTGTACACACTCACATACACTCTTCTTACGCAGCAATATCTTTCAAGAACAATCATAGACTCTCATGAACATTATTGCAGTGAACTTTGGAACACTAAAATAACAGATAAAGAGGGACAACTCTTGGTTAATTCAACCTTTTCTTACTTAAATGCATGCTTTCTTTCACATCGTTGTTTGATATTGTACATCTTGTTAAATACATATTTTATATGTAACTATGTCTCTTGGTTATCCTTTTCTGCATCAGCCCTGTTTCTTAATCTAAAGTTAAATTAATGTGGTGAAGTCCGCCACAATCTATCTATATATAAAATTCTTTGACTCCCGTTAGTCCGTCTGTCCGCCCGTCCCTAACATTCTCTAAAACACCCATACGCTGACCGATCGAAACCAAATTTTTGGGAGACGTGCAAACAAGGGAGTACAAAGTAAAGTTGGTTTTACTAGTGTGCGTAGCTTAGTACAATAAATTTTCATTATCTATTTTGGAAAAATTAAAAGTTTTATTATATAACATACAAAATACTACTGCAATTTTAAAAAGAATTTAATGATTAAACTAAGAAATACTTATTAAATAAAGATGCAATATTGTTTTTTGCATATCTTTTCTTTAAATTTTTATATTTCATCGATTGCTTTGCGAAATTGAACGAAACATAGAGTTTGTAAATCTCGATAAAAAAATATTAACGATTAGTTCAACAAAACTAAATACTGTGAGGAATTTAAACATTGCGTCACCGTGTTGTAAAAAAAAATATATCTAGTCTTTAAAAAGCAATAATAATCCATTTTAAACCATAAAAATATCGGCTTCACAAATCTGCGTTCACTTTTGAACGAAATGACTGAATTGCTTAATATTTGCTTTAAAATTTGTCAAAATACCCAATTCCCCGTTCATCGCTGAAAACTGGGTGATGACTGTTACCCATATGTACGACACCGGGTGGGAAGAAATATTCCAGAATGTCGACTTTGTCGATTAAGTCGGTTAATAAGCAGCCTGGTGGGTGGGTGGCTGTATGTTATCGTTTGGGTCAGTCATTTTTTCTTTGATAACGCGAGAAATTAATGGGCGACAAAATAAATAAATTTATAAGAAAAATGTCAAAAAATATTAGGATTTTCCTCTCTGCAGATTGTTTTAAGCACTAAATTCTTTGTTTTTTATTAATATTTTCTCTTGTTCTGCAATTGTTCTAAACTGCTATGTAATATCTAATCTCATATATGGGAATAAATGCTGGACAATTTCTTCATATATGGAATAAACGTGATGCAACAGAAGTGGTTCTCACGATAGATGCTAAGAATACCATGAACTGAACATTTGAATATTAATGGAAATAGGAACTACAAAAAACTAATACATACAATCAGAAAGAGACAATCTAATGGCTTACAGGAATAAAGAAAGATGTCATTCAGAAACTAAGCAAAGTATACAGAGAGAGGAATAGATGTCCTTAGAAACAAAGAATATTGTGCTGGACTTTTTTTTAATCACTCCACCCCAAACAAGGCGATAATGCCACTAATTGACGTCACATTTAAATTTTTAAAGATCGCTGTTGACAGGAAAGCAAGAATCCGGAAGAGAATTCCACAGGCGAATAGAATTATGGTTACATCTAGCAATTTCAACGATGAAATGACGAGACCTAACTGCCAATCTAGTAGTAAAGTTAAATTCATGAAGTCGCTGTACCAAAAAACAATCGCCATGAAAGTATTTATAGAAAAGACATAAGGAAGCTACGTTACAATGATAGGAAAGAGATTGATGCTGAGATGCCAGGTCAGGACTGATAGCATTGCAGATTCTTCTTTGGATTTTCTCAAGAATCCCCTGATATATAGCAGAAGCGCCAGACAAGATGTTGCAACGATATTTATTGCTCGGATGAATGGTAGATGCGAGAAAAATGGTCTCGCCCGTCACAGTGAATCAACTTTCCTAACAGCAGACCTAACAATTGACTCGATATAATTCATTCTAATCTCCTATATGGCAGTGAATGCTACATAATCTATTTATAAATAAATAAGTCTTGAAGCGACTGAGATGCAATTCTATCGACGGATGTTGAAAATATTGTCGGCTGAACATGTGAGCAACAAAGAAGTTTTAAAGAAAGTAACAACTACAAAGAATTTTATACCTACAATCGTAGAGTTAACAGTTTAAATTTCTGGGAAACATGAGAAAAGAAGGCTTGGGGAATCTAACACTCACAGGACATATTGACGACAAAAAGTGGATAACTCCTCACCGATCTTTTGGACAGTAGTAGAGATTTATCTTGTCGCGGGAGTATGTACGTTGATGTTTGAGTGTGGAAACACGTGTCCCCTGGAATGTTTATCCCACAACAAAAATGGTGGACTTGCATGTGCGTCCGGGTAATAAAATACAAAAAAAACAACTAAAACCAATATATATATATATATATATATATATATATATATATATATATATATATATATACAAACAACTGATAATGTATTATTAACAAGACAAAAGGTTACATTGTTGCGAGCGACAAAGACAACGATACTGTATGCATGTGGCAAAACAATGAATATGCATGAAAATATTTAAAGAGTACTGAATTGTTTGTGTATGTAAAATATGTGTAGAAGTCCTAGAGAAAATGAAGTTGTTTTTCCCAATGAGAAATGCGTTTTCACGATAGACCTACATCGTACCGTGTCCCAGGAAAATAGGAAAAATGATAGAAAATGGTAAAAAATATTACAGTGTATTTATAGGTTCAGAAAGCGACCCCGAATAATAGTTTTTTTAGTTAGGAAAGTAAGTGGAGTTAACTCTCCAATCCCTTTTTTACTGTTTAAGATTGGGTTTCCGGTTCCTTCTAAAGTCTACTTCAATTCTATACTTCTGTTATGAAATGAACTATACTTTTGTGATTTTTATGTAAATTTCTTGTATGTAAATGAAGATACATTTTTGTAAAATTGCGCTGTATTCTAAGAAGGAGGTACATTATGTGGTGAAACACCAATAGCGTCATTCTGCTGCGTTTTTTTTTCTTTTTCTTTTTTAAATCCTTTCTTAAGAAAAGGTTATTGTCGTTTCGTCTTCCTGCTATTTTGAATTGTGTTCAAATTCATAATAACTTCTAACGTCTCCGCCGAAAACTCTATACTTTTATTTACTATTTCTTTACATTTTTTTCTTCAATAAGAGTAGATAGGTTTGTTTATCGTCCGCTTCACATCCCCCCCCAGTCTTTTGAACAGGAGTAGAGGATTATCCCTTGTTTCGTGTTTAGGATTGGGTTTCTCGTTCTTTCTATTCTCTTTCATTTCCAGTCGCCCCTTGCGTCTTGTTGGCATTGTCACCTTGATGTTGGTGGTGCTTCTTACTCTGTGAATCTCTACCTCGAGTGGCTCTTAGGCCTTTTACAGGGTGAATATCATTGTAAACAAAATACGAGAGAGGCAAGAGGAAACAGCAAGTAAACTAGTGAACGAGTTGGCAAAACAAAAAAAGAGCAATGTTATGGGGGGATGACTTAGAACAGCAAAGGACAGGAAGTTGTGGAGAGATGCTTACTTTGAGAAAATGGGCACAGAAAGTTCGGCAATGAAGTGAAGATGTATACATATAGTGGAAATGGTTTAAAAAAGCAGAAGAAAGAAAAAAATTAAATTCAGCAACAACGGACAGACTGGAAAACTTTAGAATTTGAAAACTGGTGATGTGAAGGGACTTTTACAGAAAAGATCATCTTCCAGTCTTATTCGACACAAGAAAAACACTTGCAATAAAAAAATAAATTTATTACAAGAATCAAAAAAGAAGAAAATCGTGGTTACTTGCAGGACACCTTGCCTTCAATAAATCCTGTGAGTGTCAAATTCTCCAAGCCCTCTTTCTTCATTATGTGCCCTTGAAATACCAATTGTCTCTTCCTGATTC